TTTTTTATTAATTAAATAGAGAAACTTTCTACACCTTCATCTTCTCTCATACTGTTAATGATTTTTAAACAATTTTTATAATACTTAGAGAATATTTTTTACTTCTTTTGCAGAGTACTCCTCCCTCACGAAATAACTATAAATTTAGAAGCCACGGCTATTGAGAACCGATGGAGTAAAAGAGTGTACAACGTACACGTGGTACTTATATTCAACCACTGATATCTCAGTCTCTATAGAAACTAATTAATATATGGACCATTTCAATTTGATCAATTTAATTTTGGATTTAATATGTATGGACCATTTCAATTTGATCAATTTGGTTTTGGATTTAATATATATTGACCATTTCAATTGACCTCGTGTTTTCTTATTAAACGTACGGCACCTGTGTCGATTAATTAACCTTCTGCCTCTCCTTTTTCCCCCACCATTTTTCTTGATGATATGAGATTCAATGACTTTCAGTACTCCACTCCAATAGAACAAAGGTCCATTTAGGATTCAGATTCTCAATTTCTTTCAAGTTTTCACTTTTGGAGCCAACGTGCTGCATATGCGTGTTCTTCCAGGTAATTGTTACCGTGTTGAAAATGGCCACTTGTGGCCAAAAAAATTAAAAAAAGCTGAATAGCAAAGCATATTCTTCTGAATTATTGAGCATAGCTTCTAGTTAGCGTATTGTGTCCATTGCCCAAATCCTAGCTAATGGCATTGGCCTGTGCTCATTATTATTATTATTATTATTATTATTTATTAGTTAATAAAATAAAATTAATTTATATTAAATAGGAGTACAAAGGAATATGTCATTCCATCTTGAACATGACTCAAAATTCTCTTAACATGCAACATAATTAAATTACAAATACATAAATCCAAGCTAAATCATGTTACTTGATCCTATACTTATCTTGCATTCTTCACAGCTTCCCTGCAATCAGTCACTGCTCTAGCACAACCCCATGGGTTATGGCGCCAATCATGAAAAGTTGAAGTGCACCCCTTGCCACTTGCTCTATAATATTTTATAGTTCTAACTGTTAAGTGAAAAAATTTTACATAAAAATTATAATAAAGAAATATATGACTTAATGAAAAAGTATATGATTAATTATGATAAGAGTTATTTTATTTATTGTTAATTAATTTTAAATTAAATGTAAATTTTATTTTAAAATATATAAATATAATTTTTATATAGTATTAGAATTCAAGTTTTGTTCTTGAAAAGCTTGTTGTTAGACCCAAGTTTTGTACCTAGGCTCAGCTGCCATTTTTGAGAGGCTTATTGGGTCACCTAATGAAACTCAAAGTTTGTACTATTACATGTGAGGGGCGTGAGTTTTATATTAAAACTCACATACACAATTTTCTCACTAGATAATCATCATCGGTTTCCCACTACGGTACGTGCCCTTTGGTAGAGGGCAAGTGGCCGGGATCCGTGGGCATGAATGCTTTTGGTTGAGAGGGTAGTAGCTAGTAAAGGCTACATGGTGTAGCTAGGTTATTGTTTATGGAGGAATTGAGGGTCCAATTCATATGGAGAAAAACCAAACGGAATTGTACGCAGGGAGACTTGCGTGCTTAAGGGGGCTTTCGGTGAGAAAGTGACATATTGAGACCCACATTTTGTGGCCATTGAATTGGCAAGTATTATCGTTTCATTTAACAACTGCTCCTGTGGTCCTACCCCAATTTGTCTCCCTGGTCTAGTTAATTAATGCTATTCAAAGTGGAAAAAAATGTTTCTACTCTTGGTATATAGATCGTCAAATTTTATGGTTAGATTTATTTATTTAAAAAATATGTGGATGAGATTGAAATTCACATTTGTGAAAACCAAAATTATATGTCTTAAACATAGAAAAAAATTATGCTATTACCCGATTTCGAAAACATTCCGATTGTCCCAAATAAAATTGCTATTATAAAATATATTAATTAATATGTTTGAAAGATGGAATGGGTGTCCTAGCCAAAGTATATGAATATGATGCACACTAGTTTGAGTTTGAGATATTGCATGGATATTCCTTTTGATGAGTCGCATTCCGGTTGATGGAAGTGTAAAAGCATGAAGATGGGATTGATGAGAGCAAAGTTTGATGTACGCCCTCCCAAATGTTGTTTGATCATTTTGATATAGGGTACTTTTGTTGTGGACCATGTTAACCATGATTATCTCTGCCACCATGAAAATTAAAGCAATTCACTTCATTGGATGGATAAGTCTCTTTGTAACCCAAGGTATTTAAGGTTTGTGCTTGTGTCACGTCTATCTATATATAATGACATTATGAAAGATTTTGTTGTAACTTATTTGATAAAAGACGGGAGAGGTAAAATTAAAAAAAAAAACAAATTAGTAATGAAATGTAAATCAAATTAATAAAGTTACATATTCTATTTTGAGAAATGATTATAAATATCTCCTAACATATATAAATTATTTAAAATTATTATCAATTAATTTTAAATTAAATACATTATTGAGTAAATCAACACACAATTCAGTCTTTTTTAGCCTATCAATAGTTTTCTCTTTTTCTATTAGAAAACGGGAAGTTTAGTTTGTTTTTTCGGTACTAATCTTTTGATATTTAGTAATTATATTAGATTTCGATTAATTTAAAATCAAATTAGATCAAACTTTATTAGGAAAAAAGTTTTTTTAATACATATTTTTCTATTCATAAGATTCAAACTTAAAATTTTATTTTAAAAAAATTAAATCCTTTTCAATCTAACCAATAAAATGATGGTAAATCTAGTTGGTTGGTTCTTCCCCATTTCATGTTAAAAGGCTTATGGTTAGAACTTTTTCCCTGATGGAACTCACGGTTACAAACTTTTGTCTGTTATCCATTGTTTTTAATTTCATTAGTTAATTTGAAAAGACATTGACAGAAGTACATGGCAAACACATGCCCATACCCTGTTTACAACTGTACAGATGATGGCAATCTATCCAATAAAAAAAAAAGTGAATTGTACGTTCCATATTTTAATTAATCGCACCCGAGGTAGATTCTGACTCTGTTTAGTCCCTTAATTATCTTTCAAAACTCTTAATCAGTCAGTTAATAAACATGGATTATCACTAATGATTTTTTTGGTAGAAATGGATTATCACTAATGATGATAACTATAAAGATATTTTACCAATAAGAGAAAGGGCAGGTGAGATTATAAAAACAGGTGGCTAGCTGTAAACTTTGAATCCAATCATAAGCAGGTCAATCTTTGACTTGGTATTTCTATGCTAATTATTGGTGGTCGCTCTTGAATTGTTGACATGGTCACTGGTTTTGCCTGCTATACGTGCCATTATTTTATTTGTTGTTTTGGTCATTGGAGACTAATAATTAGCACAGCACATATTGTTATCAACATATGCTGGTAGGAGCCATTAACGAGTGCTGCTTTTTGTATCCTGACACTTCAGTAATAAATTCAACTTTTAGAATATGAGTTAATGGATAAGAATTAAAATTTACATTTAAATTTTGAGTCGGATGTGATTGGATTTA